TGTAGGCTGAAGATCCCTGCTTATGGTTTAGACCTCGCTCATCTCAGGGGGATCCAATTGGCTGTTTCAGTATCTTTCTGGGGCTGCCGCCCGTGGGTGCCCCACCTGCCTTCTCAAGTCTCTACCACACTCCTTACCAGTTAGGTTGTGCTAAAGCTGACTCTTCTGTCTGTCCGAGGTTAAAAGGCTCCTCTCTCGCTATTGTTCAGTTGTTTGTTCCAGGTGATTTCTCCGCAATTTAATTGTAATTCCAGGTTGGCCCTGGGGGGAAGTCAGTGTGACTTCCACTAACTCCTCTGCCATCTTGATTCTCTTGCCATTTTTCTAATATTGACATTTTTCTCTTGTTTTTGAACTTTCACTTCAATTTCTTACTCTGGTTTTGTGTTCTTGAATAATTTTCCAGTATTTCATTTTTTAATGGCTTAGTCATCAACTTCCTTTTTTTCTGATCTTAGTTTTTCAGTAGAAAGAGATTTATTGGCAGAATTTTTCACAGTGGATTTTGAATCTATAGCTGTAAATAAGTTACCTGTTTTTCCCCCCACAGGCTCATTCTTAGATGGTTCTCCTTGTTTTTCTATATTGAGGGTGTATCGAGTTCTGTTTATTCTAGATGAGAACAAAACATTTCCATTGTTGCTGATTTAGATGGGAGACATTTCTTGATTTTCTTCATCCTTTTCCCTTTTCTTGGTAGATAGCTGGAAGTAATTTTTTTTTTTTAAATTGTACTTATTTTAGAGAGGGAAGGAAGGAGAGAAACATCATTATGTAGTTACCTCTCACATACTCTCTACTGGGGACCTGGCCCACAACACAGGCATGTGCCCTAGACTGGGAATGGATTAGGTTCACAGGCCGGCATTCAATCCTTGAGCCATACTAGCCAGGGCTGGAAGTAGTTTGATATTACAGTATTATATTCAGAGCTTAATTTGGGGGTTCCTTCGCAGTGGATGTTTCCTTGAAGGCATTCTGAATTTTTGTTCCATTCTGAGATTTTTATTTCGTTTGACCTTTCACTCAAATCCATATTGTGTGTCTGCTTGTTAGGACTCTGTGTTGGCTACATATGCTGTTGTGTTCACTGGGTACTTGGCATAAGGTTCTCTTTGACTGACAAGCCTTGGAAAGGCTTGGCCCTGGAGTCTTTTCTTGAATCCTACACTTGGCTGGCCCTGAGGATCACAGTAATTCCCCATAGTCATGAAAATAACTGCCAATCCAATTTCCACTTCAGAAATAAGTCTAAGACGCTGCCTTTGGAGCATATCCATAATTGAATGAAAACATTTTTTCTGAGTCAGAAATTAAGGTCTATGAATTTGTTATTTCTACATCAACACAATTTTCAGGAGCTGATATGAAATTATAATCTTTTTTTTTTTTTTCTGTTATCAACCTCACATTTCCTCCTCCAAAAACAACTGCTGAACTTAATTTTTATGGGGCTCGGCATTCAGAAATGCAGCTGTTTTCCCTTTGAAGATCTGTTTTCTTTCCTCTTGTCCTGACAGGTCAGCATTATTACTTCCAATAGCTGGTTCATCAATAGGTAGGTAGAAAACTTTCAATTTGTGGAGGGTTGGACTGCGTGCTTTAAGAAGTTCAGTAAAATATTCCAGCTTTACAACTGGAGGTCCACAAATGAGTGCATGTATTGTTTTAATGGTAACTTTAACTGATTTCATGACAAGGTGAGTGCATTCTTCTGTCCAAGTGTTTACAGTTAAGTCCTCCAAATTGCAATAAGGCTTGATTTAAAGTGTTTTTTTTTCCAGAGGCATCTAAACAAGAAGAGCACACAACCAAAGGCTCATAGTCCGCTCTGCATTTACTTTCAAACATTCCCAAAGTAACCTTGTCCCATCTTCAAAGTTTGGGAAAGGTCATTCTTCATTTTTCCTCATGAACAAAGTTACCATACTTAGAACTATCTCTTATTGTCAATATAGGAATTTTTTGTTTGACTCCAGTTGGTTACAGAAAAGCTGGCAGTTAACACATCATGATTTCGACAGATTGGTCGTTTTCAATGACAATGCCAGTTTTTAATTCCAACAACATACTCAACACCCATCAAAAATCTGTATGGTCCTTGGCTGGGCTGTGTGAAGGAGCTGCTTCCACGTGGGGCCTGAGTGTAGGGGGCAGCCTGCAGCTGCACGACCATAGTTGAAAAACGTGCATGGCCACGGTGCCTTGGGACCCACAGGCTCCTAGATATCTGCACTCCCCATGATGACCTTGTTAAACCTCAGTTTATTCATTCATGTTATAGTATTTCTCATAGTATCGTTATGGGTGTTAAATGAGAAATGCACTAAAATGCTTGTCTTGAATAAATAGTAGTTGCTCCTATCATTGTTGTTTTGTTAAAGATCCAATGATTGTCAGTGGCCATTTGGCTAGTATGTGGCAGGGCTGAGATGCACACTTAGGCTTGTGAGTCTAAAGCCAATGCTCTTTTCCCTGTACCACGTTGCCTTCCTTATCTGCCATGGAAAGTACAATATTAACAGGAAAAAACAGTACTGCACAATCTTTCATACATTTATCTCTGTGCTATCTAAATAATCCACAAATATATTGAAATGGCCAGTTTCTGTGAGGAATAGAAAAAAGTCTCAGCACTTGATCTCATATACTGCTAACTAGGCTTTAATGACCTCAAGAACAGTTTGTACTTAATGCAGTACTTAAATATTCAGGCTTTAGAATCAAAAGACCTGGATTTGAGTCCCAGCTTCTCAACCTCTAAGATCTGCAGTTCTTGATCTGTTAAAAGGGAACAATAATATTAACTTCCCAATAGGAATATTGGCAGGATAAGATACAATAAAGTTTGTTTGTTTGTTTATTGATTTACTATTGTCGACTGTATTACAGATGTCCCCCATTTTCTCCCCTTTGTTCCCTCCACCCCACCTTCATCACATTGCTCTCTGTGTCCATGGGCTATGTATATATGCATATATGTTCTTTGGCTAATCTCTATTTGGAATAGGGCCTGAAAAATGGTTAATGCTCCCAAATGATAGCTGTTGTTATGACTAAAGTCAGAGACTGTTTTCTACATTTTAAAAAATTCAGCCAATCAACAATAAGTGTCCCTTCATGTACTAAAGAAAATACATGGCAACCAGCCTGTTTGATACTAAATAGGGCATTAAAATAAAAAGGACACTAAGTTGATTCCTTATAGCCAGAAGCTTATTATTTAAGGTAAGCAATTCTGTCGCATAGCTGGCTCTATCACCTATGAGTCTCAAAAATGACAGAAACACTTATATCCATCATTTTCTCTGAGAATGTAGAAAGATTCAAGTTGTCTTGGCATGTATAACCATAAAAAGTCTCTCTTTCTGCTTTGGAAGGTAATTTTCTCTTTCCCACAAGGAAGAAAAATATATAGACAAGATCAATGGAACAAATAGCCCAGAAACAGATCCACACCTTTTTAGTCAGTTAATATTTGACAAAGGAAGCAAAAACATAAATAAATCAATAAATGGTGTTGGGAAAATTTGATAGATACGTGCAAAACTAGACCATATTCTTATATCATACACAAGAATAAACTCAAAATGGATTAAATACTTAAATGTTAGAATTGAAACCATAAAAATCCTAGAAGAAAACATAGACAGTAAAATCTTGAACATTTCTCATAGCAATATTTTTTTATGACATATCACCTTGGGAAAAGGAAACAAAAGAAAAAACAAATGAACTACATCAAACTAAAATGTTTTTGCACACAAAGGAAATCATTAACAAAATGAAAAGACAATCTACCGAATGGGAGAACATATTTGCCAATACATCTGATAAGAGCTTAGCATCTAAAATTTACAAGGAACTTACAAAACCCAACACCAAAAAACCCCCAAACAATCCAATTAAGAAATGAGCAAAAGACCTGAATAGACACTTCTCTAAAGAGGACATACAGATGACTAACAGACATATGAAAGGATGCTCATTGTCACTAATTATCAGAGAAGTGCAAATTAAAACCACAATGAGATATTGCTTCACACCTGTCAGAATGGCTATCATCAATAAATCAACAAACAACAGGTGTTGGTGAGGATGTGGAGAAAAGGGAACCCTTGGGCACTGGTATAGCAATTGTGGAGTGTAGTATGGAGTTACCTCAAAAAATTAAAACTGGAACTGCTTTATGATCCAGCAGTTCCACTTCTAGAAATATATCCAAAGATCCTGAAAACACTAATTTGAAAGAATATATACACCCCTGTGCTCATTGGAGTATTATTTACAATAGCCAAGACTTGGAAGCAACTCAAGTGCCCATCAGTAGATGAGTGGGTAAAAAAGCTGTGGTACATTTACACAATGAAGTACTACTCAGCTGTAAAAAAGAAGGAAATCTTACTTTTTGTAACAGCATGGATGAACCTGGAGAATATTATGCTAAGTGAAATAAGCCAGTCAGAGAAAGACAAGTACCATATGATTTCACTTATATGTGAAATCTAATGAAAAAAATTAAAGTGGAGACAGACTCATGAGTACAGAAAACAGACTCATAGTTGTCAGAGGGGAGGGAGTTGGGGGCTGTGTGAGAACAGTGAAGGGATTAAGCAAAGAAAAAAAAAGACTCATGGACACAGATAACAGTGTGGAGACTGCCAGAGGTCAGGAAGTCGGGGGAAGTAGAAGAAGGGAAAAGGGGGATAGATGGTGATGGAAGGAGGCTTGACGCGCGGTAGTAAACATACAGTGCAATATACAGATGATGTATTGCAGAACTGTACTCCTGAAACCTCCATAATTTTATTAACCAATGTTGCCTCAGTAAGTTCAGTTAAAAAAAAGTGAAAAAGAAAAACAGATATTTTCTTTTCACTGGTTTGTAAAGGCCTATTGTTCAAGCTCATAATACAAAGAGATAAAGAAATGTATAAAAGGATTCATCCTTTCCACTAACCAGAAAAGAACTGTAACAATAAAATTCAGACTATAATTACCTTCTTCTTTTGTTCTTCCCCAGCCACCTATAAAACACTTTGTGTTTCGATCCAGGTTTTGGAAAACATCAAAAGGTAGACAAATAGGCTGAATATAGTCATTATACCTTACTGCTTTTTTTAAATGAAAAAGTGCAATATCATTTACATAAGTTTCCATATCGAAGTCTGGATGGATGATGATTGCTTTAATTTTTATAATCTTGGTGTGTGGATGATGCCCAGCTATATCATTAGTTCCAAGCACAGCTCTCCACATTAAAGGATCTCTAAAAGAAAGTAAAGGTTCTTATTATAAACATGTTTAAGAATATTCTTAATGTCCCACTACTTTTTGTTTTTCTTGTGTTAATAACAAAAAGATTTAGTTCTACCTTTATGTGACATAAAGTCACATCAAATAAAAACCTAAATATTGCCCTGGCTGGTGTGGCTCAGTGGGTTGAGTGCTGGCCTGTGAATCGAAGGGTCACCAGTTCAATTCCCAATCTGGGCACGTGCCTGGGTTGCAGGCCAGGCACCTGGTAGGAGATGTGTGAGAGGCAACCACACATTGATGTTTCTCTCCCTTTCTTTGTCTCTCCCCTCCCCTCTCTCTAAAAATAAATAAAATCTCTCAAAAAAACCCGCCAAAATATCAAGATGTAGGGAAAGAGAAAAAAGATCTATGGAACAGTAAGTCCAAAAACAGAATCAGAGAATTTATATGACTAAGGTAGCACTTCTTACCAGTGGACACAACATGGATTACTCAGTAAATGGTATTGGGATACCTAGCTAACTAAATAGTTTGAGAAGTTAAATAAATCTTTTAAAAACACTAAACATTAAAATAAACTCAAAATGGATTAAATATTTAAACATTTTAGATAAAACTTCCTATTTTTTAGAGGTACATAAGGTGGTATGTCTGAGATTTGCTTCAAAATAATTGGAGGGGGAGCTGGTGAGGTTAAAGGTGAAACATCAGGCATGAGCTGATAACTTGAAACTGAGTGATCGGTATATGGGAGTTCACTAAACTATTCCCTCTACCTGGGTTAAGTTTTGAAATTTTAGAATGAAATATTTGGATAATCAATTAGTGTGAGAATTATAAAAATGAAATCAGAAAGAAAGGATAGGTGCATACATAACATTGACATGAGAAAGGACTTTATAAAGCATTACACTAAAGATAAAAACAAGAAGCAACCAGTGGGAGCCCTGGCCAGGTAGCTCAGTTGGTTAGGGTGTTGTCCCAGTACGCCAGGGTTGTGGGTTTGATCCCGGGTCAGGGCACAAGAATCAACCAAGGAATGCATAAAGTAAGGGGAAGAACAAATTCATTCTGTCTCTCTCTCTCCCTCCCCCCTTTAGTCCCCCTTCTTCCCTTTCTTTCTCCCTCCCCCTTTCTCTCACTCTCTCTAAAATCAATTAAAATATGTATAATGGATCTTGACAGTCTTAAAAAAACAAAAAACAAGCAAAGAGAGTAAAACCCCCAAAAACCAAACCAAAAGATGTTCTGTAGGTCAAAAATCAATAATTAAAACCCAAGCACGTTATAGTTGTTACACCTGTAATTGTATTGGGAAGGAAGGACTTTTACTTTTCACATGGTTGTTTACAAATGATGACATTCCTTTTCATCCTTCAAATTGGCAATGTTTATATCTGTGCGCGCGCGCATGTGAGTGTGCATATTTGATGATAAATCTCAGTACAGGCAGGAGTCAGAGGAACAAAGTTACTCTTATTCATTGTGAAAAGTATAGATAGATGAGTACTTCGGTAGTGTGTGCATTGTCAATAGCCTATAGAAGCTGCATTGTATTTGACTCTGCTTTAAGCTACTTTGAAATAATGATGTTTCTTTTCCAAACTTAATTTATATTACTTACTTCAATTTATATTCAGACCATACGTAAGATTAAAAAAAGATTGTATACACTGAAAACTACAAAATATTGCTGAAAGAAATTAAAGACTACATCAATGGAAAGACATCCCACATTCATGGACTGAAAGACTTAGCATTGTTAGGATGATAGCACCACCCAAAGCGATTTATCTAGATTCAAGGTAATCCCTATAAAAAATCCCAGTAATGTTCTTTGCAGAAATAGAAAAACCTATCCTAAAATTTATATAGAATATAAGGGTCCCAAAGTATCCAAAATAATCTTGAAAAAGAAGAACGAAGTTCAAGGACACACACTTCCTGATCAAAACTTAACGCAAAGCTACAGCGATCTAAACAGCATGGTGCTGACACAAGGAGCGTATAAACCCCACTGGAAAAGGAGAAAGAACCCAGAAATACACCCTTGCATTTGTGGTCACACTGATTTTCAACAAGAGTGTCAAGATAATTCAATGGAGGAATGCACAGGCTTTCAATAAATTGTGCTGAGAAAATCGGGTATCTACATGCAAAGGATTGAAGTTGGACCCTTACCTTACACCATATGCAAAAATTAACTCAAAACAGATAATGGCCACGCCGGCTGGTGTGGCTCAGGGGACTGAGTGCCGGCCTGCCAACCAAAGGGTCGCCAGTGCCATTCCCAGTCGGGGCACGTGCCTGGGTTGTGGCCCAGGTCCCCAGTAGGGGGCACATGAGAGGCAATCACACATTGATGTTTCTCTCCCTCTCTCCAAAAATAAATAAATAAATAAAATCTTTTAAAAAATAGATAATGGCCTAAATATAAGAGTAAAGTGATAAAAACTCTTAGAAGAAAACACAGGAGAAAACCTTCATAATGTTGGATTTGGCAGTGATTTCTTGGATATGACACTAAAATCACAGGAACAACAACAAAAAAAAGATAAATTGGACTTCAAAATTAAAAACTTGTAAGCAAAAAACCAAAACAGACTTGTAGATTCAGGAAACAAACTGGTGGTTACCTGAGTGGGGAGGTGTTGGGGAGTGCAGGCAAAATACGAGAAGGGGATTAAGAAGTACAAACCTCGCCCTGGCCAGTGTGGCTCAGTTGGTTGGAGCATCATCCCGTAACCAAAAGGTCATGGGTTTAATTCCCAGTCAGGGCACATACCTAGGTTGTGGGTTCGATCCCTGGTCCCGGCGTGCACAGGAGGCAACCAATCGATGCTTCTCTCTTGCATCGATGTTTCTCTCTTCCTTCCTCTATCTAAAAGCAATGAAAAAATATCCTCAGGCGAGGATAAAAAAAAGCAAGAGGTACAAACTTCCAGTTATAATATAAATAAATCATGGGGATATAATGTATAAGATAAGGAATACAGTCAATGATATTGTAATAACTTTGGTGATAAATGGTAACCAGACTTATCATGGGGATCATTTCTTAATGTATGTAAACATCAATCACTATGATGTACACCTGAAACTAATAGATTATATATCATTTATACTTTAATTTTTAAAAAAATTTAAAACTTTTGTGCATCAAAGGATACTATAAAGAGAGTGAAAAAAACAACCCACAGAATAGGGGAAACTATCTGAAAAACATATATATGATAAGGGATTAAGAACCAGAATATATAAAATAGTCCTACAACCTAACCAAAAAAAAACCCCTAAACAGCCCCATTAAATAATGGGCAAAGGACTCGAAAAGACGTTTCTCCACAGAAGATCTACAAATGTCCAGTATGCACACGGAAAGATGTTTAACATCACTAGTGAGTAGAGAGATGTAAAACAAAACCACAATAAGACACTACTTCACACTCACTAGGGTAGTTATTACCATAATAGTAGTGTAAGTGGCAGCAGTGTTAAGTGAGGAACTAAGGAAAAGGAGACTGATATTCTGGATCTACTTCTAATCAGTGGGGAGTATGCGGGGGACAGAAGAAACAAATTTAAGAGCTACCGAACAGAGAATCCGCTAGTTCCCTGGATAGTGGAGCTGTTGGTAATGCTGTTATCTGAGAGAGAGAGAGAGAGAAGGGACAAGATTAAAAGAAAGATTTAAAAATTCATTTTTGGCAACTAATGAACAAACAAGAAAAACAAAAACTCAGACACAAATCACAGTATGGTGGGTACCAGAAGGAAGGGGGTGGGGTAGTAAAGGGTAAAGGGGTCCAATACCAACATACGGAGACGGAGAATATTTGACTTTGGGTGGTGGGCACACAGTGCCATATACAGAGCATGTATCATAGAATTGTACACTTGAAACCTATATGATTTTATTAATCAGTGTCTCCCCAGTAAATCTAATTTAAAAAATAAAAACCTAACAGTTTTAAATTTCTGGATGTGTTGAGAATGAGACTCCAATATATATGTATGTACAGTGGGCAGCTGGAAATATGACTCAGCTGGAGAGACTTGGGACTTGCCAGCACGCGGCGACGGCAGGAGTGGAAGTAGGCGGTGTCTCTAGGAAAGAGTACAGATCGTAAGGCAAGGCGAGAGAGAGGCTAGAAGGTGGAACTCCAGAAAATAGTATTGCCATTTAAAAGATGACAAAGACATACCAAGGAAGTGGAGAAAAAGGGGGAAAAAAGTAAAGTGGTGCCTTAGGAATCGAAGGAAAAGATAGTTGTGAGAGCAGTCAACTCTGTCAAATGTTATAGAGATCAGATAGGATGGGGACTGTGAAGAGGCCATTGGATTTGGCACGGAGGTGGGTTTTAAGACATACTGTGTTGTTAGCCACAGAATCAGATTGCAGTTGGGATTTTATAAGTCAATGCAGATGAAGCAAAAGGGAATCTCTCTTTCGAGGAGTCTAACAGTGAAGGGAAGAACAGAAAGTTAGGATTTTTTCGTTGTTTGTTTATAGATAACAATGAGATGACCCAAACATGTTTGAAGGCTATCGTGAAGAAACAAGAGGAAGAGATTGAAAAATACTAGAGAGACAGTAAGATAAAATGAAACTATCGTTTTTGAGACCTGGGTTTAAATCTGTGGACTGACACTTGACAGCAATGTGACCTCGGCCAAGTGACCGATTCTCTCTGATTTCTGGATTCCTTAAGTGTAAAGTGGAGATAGTAACAGCTGTCTCAGAGGGTTAGTGGGAGGGCTTTTTAAATCCAGAACTATATGTAACACCCTTAGACAGCATCTAATCTCAAAGCAGGTCTTTGATAAGTGGTTACTTTAAGGAGGAACAAGGGATAATTGGTGGCTCAAGGTTTAGGAAATGAGGGAGACCAGGAATGGAAGGTGGCATCGTTAGTCCTCTGAGACAGGCGGAAACTCCTGAAAAGTAACGACTATGCCTCCGTAATGTCTACTTTCTTAGAACCTAGCCCAGTGTCTAGTACATTCAGTAAATGTTTGTGGAGTAAAGGGGTAAAAACGTCACCAAGATTGAGCCTTTGGAACTATTAAGTGGAATATAAACATTATTTTCAAATGCTTGGAAGAGGAATTAGGTTTAATAAATATGGCTTCAGAAGACAGAGAAAATCAAAATGCCTAGTTCAACACAAGGAAACGCTTTCTAGGAATGGCAGCTGTTGGACATTGAAATGAGAGCCCCCCACAGTAGCAGCCCATCAGCACAGAGGTGGCTCAGGCAGAGAGCCGGACGGTGCAGTCATGGTTATGCGTGTGGGTTTTCATTCTGACAAATCCGGATTTGATCCCTGATTTGTTGCTTTCCAGCCCTGGAACCATGAGCAGGGTCCTTATGAAAGCTCAAGTCTCAGGGTCTCCCTACAGCAAAGAGGGGTTGGAAAGATTAGTGGAAATTATATATGAAAAATGCCTGGCTCAGTACATTGAAGCAGTAATATTTTTTTTAATCCTCGCCCGAGGAGGTTTTTTTCATTGCTTTTAGAGAGGAAGGGAGAGAGAAAAACAGGAGAGAGAGAGAGAAACATCGATGCGAGAGAGAAGCATTGATCAGATCCCCCCACCCGCTCCACGCACTGGTACCAGGGATCATAGGTACCTGGACCAGGGGTCAAACCTGCATCCCAAGCACATGCCCTGACCAGGAATCAAACCCACACCTTGGCTATAGGACAACGCTCCAACCAACTGAGCCATCCTGACCAGGACGAAGTGATAATTATTTCAGACTAGAGAACCCTTTACTTCAATATTGTAAAAAGGATTCATTTACAGGACAGACTAGAGAACCCTTTACTTCAATATCGTAAAAAGGATTCATTGAAAGGGGATATTTTAAATGTCTAGTTCTTTCTGTTATATTGTTAAATGTGTGGTTCTTTGTTGTTATATTGTCAGAGAACTCTTAAGATTCTCTCACAATATAACAAAGCTATATCACTTGACCAAGGTCCTACATCTAGTAGCTTTTGGAATCTTATTTAAAGGCACCGCACCACAAACTGTCAGAGGAGGACTGGGAAATGGGTTTCCCTACCATGTCAAAGGAACAAACCCATTAAGGCACAACATGAGGATTTTGTAAGCAAGAAGAGCTTTTCCAAGGATTTTCAAACTGTACCAAGCAGACATTTCCTCCCTTGGTTTACGGTTTGAAAGCTTGAGAAAAGCAGTTTTTAAAGACAGCATGTTGTAAAACAGGTGTAAAACACCCACACCTGAAAGAATTGATTCCTAACTCTGAAACTTTTTTCTATATCTTTCTCTACCCTTGATTTATACCTTAGTATCTTCCCAAATTTCTAATCTCTGCTCCCCAAAGGCTAATTGCGAGAACTGAAATCCATGTTTTAAAAATATACCTATTAAAACTTACCCAATCAGGCCAATTGCCCTCAATTGAATTTTGAAGTTGTTAGGTCCTCTTAAAGACTTTTCATTCTTCTTTAAGATAGCTGTTGTCTTAAAAATTAAACACTAAAGGGAGACTGTATTACAGGTATCATGGTTTCCCAAAGGATTTATCTTAGAGCTTCATATTAAATAATTAGGAGTGTCATGAAGTTCTAGTCTAACTGTGGTAAATCCTATTATCCAAGATTGACATCATCTATAGATTCGATAAACATTGTTATGTCTCCTGTAAAGCAGGCCAAGTCCTATATTAGTACCAAGAATACAAAATAAAACATATAGTCCTTGCCTTCAAATAACTCATGATCTAATGGTGAGAAAGACAAATACATGATTACAATACAGTAATTTTAAAAGCTAAAAGAAAGTTACATTATTTAAAGCAAGGTCCAACAAACTCCAACCCACAAACCAAATCTGGCCTGTCTCCTATTTTTACGCAGCTAATAAATAAAGTTTTTTTGCACTTGTAAATGGTTGGGGAAAAACCCAAAATAACAAAATAGCATTTTGTTCAAATTTCAGTATTGATAAAGTTTTATTGGATCACAGCACACTCATTTAATTACGTATTGTTCTTGCCACTTTGGTTCTATAGTTGCAGAGTTGAATGCTTGTGACAGAGACCATGTGGTCTGTAAACCTAAAATATTTACATAAAATGTCTTTACAGAAAATGTTTGTTGACCTCTGACTTAAAGGCTTCATTTCAAAAGATACTACGTGTAGTACATAGAAGGCATAATGGGCCCTTACAAACGTACAGCTTAATGAACATGATTCAAGTCAAATGTTTCTCTACCACTTTAAACTATGCCCTAAGAGAATAAAAGAGTTGCGTTCTGAGCACGTACCTAGCGTCCTTAGTGCAGTGGGCAGCTGTGAGGACCCAACTATGTTTCACTAAGCTTCCCCCACATACGTGACTGAGAAGCGGTCCAGACTGAATCTGCAGGCTCACTAGCCACGGCCACGCACCCGTCTGAGCGTCTGTGCCCCCTGTAATCCGAGACCCTTTCAACGTATCCACAAGTGGTGCTGTTCCACAATCTGAAAATAAAATGATATATTATTTAGACTGAACATCTAATAATGTGTATTACTTCCTAAGGCTAATACATGAATATAATCTTTTAAATTCCTATTTTAAAAACTGATACCTAAGGCATGCCCATACTTTGAGGGAGTTAAGTTAAATATGCCTTCATCGATTGCTTGCAAATAGAAAGACATCAACACAATTCCTTATTTTTAAAATTCTATTCCCCAAAAGTATAAAAATGAGATGTTTTTCTGGCCGGGTATGCTCCTGCCCGCGTGAAATGGCAATTTAAGAACCTGGAAGTGCTGAATCAAGAGCTACAGTTTCTAATACTTGCCATTTAACTTGTTGGGTTAATTTTTCTCAGCTGTAGTGAAAAGGTCACCAGGAGCCCTAATTCAATTCTGAATTCCAATGAATTACCAGCCTGCGAAATGGGAATGACAGGCCCCAGCATGTTCTGATGCGCGTATTTAGACGCCCTGCACAAATGTATGGCATTGTTACTATTGGTACTGCTATTGTCATCGTTATAAATTGGACTGCTTAGGTCGTAGATTTTTAAAGGCAGCTGGAACAATGGAAAAGGAGGGACCCAGAATCAAACACGTACAAGCGGGGGAAAGGCAAGGGAGGCTGTGGTCCGAAAAAAGGAATGAACAGGTACTGCCCTGCGCGTCCGGCCTCTCCTTTCCCTGGGCGGGGTGCCCCTGCGGCCGCCTGGGCCCCCCACGCCTGGCCTCCGGCCACCACCCGGGACCTGCGGCCTGCTCCCCAGGGCGGTCGCGCCCGCCCCTTTCCGGGAACGAGGGCTGCTCCGCGTAGAGGACAGCGCCCCCCACCAACAGCAACGCGGTGCTCAGCAGCCCGGGCGCCATGGTGAGGCCCCTGGTGGGCAAGATGGCGGCAGGCCTTCCCACCCGCCTCCGTCGGGGCTCGCGGCTCGCGGCGCGGCCCCGCTGAGCCCCGTGCCCGGTGGGAGCCGCGGGGAGGTGTGCCTCGTGGGCGGGGGCCAGCCAGCGGCCCCTGAGGCCGGCAGTGTGTGGCCCGGAGGAGCGTGACCTCCCAGATGCGTTCTAAGTGGTGTGCACTTGCTGGACAGATGTACGTGGAGTGACCCACCCTCAGCCGGCCTCTGGGGGCGCGAGAATTGGTCAGGTCCACACGCTTCTACCGCAGAGGAGGAGTGGCTGGGACCACCAGGACTACTAGCTCACACCTGCAAGGTCCAGAAGGTTTCCAGAAGGGCTTCTAAGCAAAGGCGGGTACCCAATTTCTGGGATACAGCTTGATCTCATTATTAACTTTTTGGGAGTAATTTGCCTTGAGCTTGTTTCAGGGTGAGTTAATTAAATCAAATTTAAGGACCTGCAAAGTCGATGACAAAGCCTGACTGAAGGTAATGGCACCCCCTTCAGTCCCTAGCCTGAGGATGCATTATTCTTTGTCCCATCAGAACCTGTGAGAGGCCCCCTTGGCATCCCAAACAGTGTGGGGAGAGGGTGCAGTTAAGTGGCTCCAGTTAAGGGGTCCATTGAACAACTATTAACCTCCCACTATGTGCGGCAGAGGGAAATAAGTATCACATAATGGGGAGGTTGTGTTAAGACCTGTCCGTCTGATCTGGAGAGCTTTATAACTTGGCTAGCAGAGAAAATCAGGTCTAATTCATTTGGGGGAATAAAGGAATAAATAACCCATGACACGCAAGACTAACACCAATTCAGACGGCAGGGACTGGTGTGGGCTGTGGCAGTCTGGAAGGGCTCCCTGTGGGATGGGGATGGGGAAGGTCAAGAAGAGGGAAGAGATGCAGTGAAAAGACAGGCTAGGCTAAGGTACAGCATAAGCAAAGGCATGAAATTGTGAAAATTCATAAAAGAGACCTCAGCCAGAATTGGGGTCTGGAGGGCTTGTAGGGGAACTCGTCCACCCTTACCACTCATCATTGGTTGCCCCAAACAGGAAGAGATGTGCCTTGCACCTCCAACAGGAAGATGTTTTCTACTCTACTGTTCCAGCGGGAGGGAGATTTTCTCCTACCCTAGTGACTGCCTGGCCAATAAGAGATTGTCACAACTGAGCCAAAGAAAAGCCACTAGGCTTTGAACTCCTAGTTTTCCCCAGTAGACTCTGAACACTTTCTCCCAGCTTCCCCTTTCCTCCATAAAAGAAAGCTCCTCTCCTTTGTTCTCCAGACTTTACTATGATTTTGTCATAGCTCACATGTTTTGAATTGCAATTCTCTGCTATTCCTCAATGAATCCATTTTTGCTAGTAAAATAACTTTTATTTTTAAGGTCAATAATACGTACCCATCCATGTTCCTCCAGAGAAATAGAACCAATAGAATATATAGAGCTATATAAGAGGAGATTTAGTATGGGAATTGGCTCACGCAGTTATGGAGGCTGGGAAGTCCCGCAGCATGCCGTCTGCAGGATGGACAACTAGGAAGACCGGTGGTACTATGCAGTCCCAATCCAAAGGTCTGAGAGCCAGGCTCTCTGATGTCAGAGGAGAGGAGAGATGGCTGTCTCAACGAGAAGAAAGGGAGAATTTGCTCCTTGTCCACCATTTTCTTTTATTTGGTCCCTCAGTTGATTGGATTGGATGTCACCTGCCCACATTGGTGAGGGCATATCTTCTTACTGAGTCTACTAATTCAAATTCTAATCTCTTCCAGAAATGAACTCACAGACACACCTAGAAATACGGTTTTATCAGCTATCTGGACATCCCTTAGCCAAGTCTGGTTGACATAAAAAATTTACCGTCAAAGTAGTAATAATGCAATATGTGTCTGTATAATTTTATTATTAGTTCAGTTCACATGCAATATTATATTAATTCCAAGTGTACAACATAGGGATTAGACATTTATATAGCTTATGAAGTCATCACTCCAATAAGTCTAGTACCCATCTGAACCGTATATAATTATACTGTTGACTCTATTCGTTATGCTGTACTTTACATCCCTATGACTATTTTTATAACTGGCAAATTGTACTTCTTAATCCCTTTCACATTTTTTATCAGTCTCCCCAACTCCCCTTCCACCTGGGGACCATCAGTTGTTCTCTGAAACTTCTGTTTTATTTGTTCATTTATTTTGTTTTATAGATTCCACATATAAGTGAAATCATATGGTATTTGTCTTTCTCTTCTTGATTTATTTCACTTAGCATAATAATCTCTAGGTACATCCATGTTGTTACACATGGCAAGGTTTCGTTCTTTTTTAAGGCTGAATAATATTCCATTGTGTATATGTAACACAGTTTCTCTCTCTACTCATCTATGGATGGACACTTAGGTTGCTTCCATATCTTGGCGTTTGTAAATAACATAGTGCAATGAACATAGAGGTACATATATTTTTTTAATTTGCATTTTTTTCAGATAAATACCCAGAGGAGGGATTGCTGGGTCATATTGTAGTTCTGTTTTTAATTTTTTGAGGACCCTCCATGCTATTTTCCATAGTGGCTGCACCAATTTACAATCTCACCAACAGTGCATTAGGGTTCTCTTTTTTCCACATCATCACCAACACTTTTTGTTTGTTGTCTTATTGATCATAGCCATTCTAATAAGTGTGAGATGATATCTCATCATGGTTTTAATTTGCATTTCCCTGATGATTTGTGATGCTGATTATTTTTTCATATGTCCATTAGCCATCCTATATGTCCTTTTTGGAGAAATGTCTAGTCAGGTCCATGGCCCTTTTTTAAATTAAAAAAAATTTTTTTGGTGTTAAGTTGTGTGAGTTCCTTATATATATTGGATATTAAGCCTTTATTGGACGTCTCATTGGGAAACATCTTCTCCCATTCAGTAGGGAGCCTTTTCATTTTGTCAATGGTCCTTCACTGTGCAAAACTTTTCTTTTGTTTCCCTTGCCTAAGCGGACACATCTAAAAAGATATTGCTGAGTGTGATGTCACAGAGTTTACTGCCTATGTTTTCTTCTAGGAGTTGTATGGGTTCAGGTCTTACATTTAAGTCTTTAATCCATTTTGAGTTTATTTTTGTATATAGTGTGAGAAAATGGTCTAGTTTCTTTTTTCTTTTTTCTTTTTGCATGTAGCTCTAGCTTGTCCAACACCATTTATTGAAGAGACTGCTTTACTTCATTGTTTATTCTTGAGTTTACTTCTGGGTTCTCTGCTCAGTCCTATTGACCTATATTTCTTATTTCATGCAAGTAACATGCTGTTTTGATTGCTATAGCTTTAGAGTTTGATATAAGGTAGTGTGATACCTCTGTCTTTTTTCTTCTTTCTCAATATTACTTTTGCTATTTAAGGCCTTTTGTGGTTCCACATAAATTTTAGATTTGTTTCTTATAGTTCTGTGAAAAAGGCCATTAATATTTTGATAGGGATTACATTGAATCTATAGCTTGCTTTGGGTAATATGGACATTTTAACAATGTCAGTTCTTCCTGACTGTGAGTACATCATATAGTTCCATTTACTTGTATTTTCTTCACTTTTTTCTTCAGTGTCTTGTAGTTTAAGTATTGGTCTTTATCTCCTTGGTTAAATTTATTCCTACGTATTTTATTCTTTATGATGCAATTGTAAATAAGATAGTTTTTTAATGTCTCTTTGTGAAAGTTCATTATTAGTGTATAAAAGTGCAACCAGTTTCTGAATATTAATTTTGTATTTTGCTATTTTACAGAATTCATTTATCAGTTCTAATAGGTTTTTTTGTGGAATCTTTAGAGTTCTCTGTATATAGCATTATATTATCTGCAAATAACACGAGACTAACTTCTTTTCCAAGTTGGATGTGTTTTATTTATTTTCCCTGTCTCATTGTTTTGGATTGGACTTCTAATACTATATTTAATAGAAATGGTGGTTTAATATTCTCCAGTTCTATCCACCCGTGAACAGAACTGTAGAATATTATGCCAAGGGAATTAAGCCAGACAGTGAAAAACAGTTTTTTAAAAAACATTTTGTTGTTCTATTACACACGTCCCAATTTATCTGGCTGTGCCCCCTCCACCTAGCTCACCCCCCACTCCCACAGGTATTCCCCACCCTGTTGTCCGTGTCCGTGGGTCACTGATTATTCCATACATGTCCCTTCTTTTTATCATTATCTCCCCCCAACCCCACTCTGCTCTCTGTCAGTCTCTTTCCTGTTTCTATGCCTCTGGTTCTATTTTGCTCTTTAGTTAATTTTGTTCATTAGGTTCTTTTTATAGGTGAGATCATATGGTATTTGTCTTTCACTGCCTGGCTTATTTCACTTAGCATAATATTCTCCAGTTCCATCCATGCTGTCGTGAGAGGTAGGAGTTCCTTCTTTCTTTCGGCTGCATAGAATTCCATTGTGTAAACGTACCACAGTTTTTTGATCCACTCATTTACTGATGGGCACTTAGGCTGTTTCCACCACTTGGCTATTTTAGGTAGCACTGCTATGAACACAGAGGTGCATAAGCTTGTTTGAATTTGTGATTCAGGACTCTTAGGTTATATTCCCAGCAGTGGAATTGCTGGGTCAATAGGCAGTACCATTTTTAGCTTTTTGAGGAAATTCCACACTACTTTCCACAGTGGCTGCACCAGTCTGCATTCCCACCCACAGTGCACTAGGGTTCCCTTTTCTCCACAGCCTCACCAGCACTTGTTTCAAAACAGTTTTTGAACTTTTTGGTTTTGATGACTTTTAGAGCTTCTGCCATTTTTTGTTTCACCTTTTCCACATCGGCAAAATGTTTTCCTTTGAGAACTTTTTTCATTCAGGGAAGCAAAGAAATGTTGCTTGGGGCAAGATTAGGTGAATAGGGAGGGTAGGGCATGGGGGCTGTGCTGTTTTAGGTCAAAAACTGCTGCACTCAGTGCAGTGT